TTGAGTTGTAAGCTACTCATAGCTACCCTATGAACAAAATACTTGAACATTTGTATAACTTTCATTGTTTCTCCAAGTTCATAGTGTTTCCATAGGCAAGCTATTTAAAAAGTGGATGCCACACCTGCCTCCAAGCTTGTTTTAATCAAGGAGTTTCACCAAACATTGATAACCGTTGGTGACAATTATCATATTTGACACATCAGTGTCACAGTGTTCAGCATCACAGTAACCACGAGTTACCTTTTTGTACAGCAAGTGGACAAACCAGTGCTATAGCACCTAGAAGAATGTTTGGCCAATAACCATTAAAACCACGCCTGAGGGATGCAGATTAAAATCACCCACCTTTGGATTGGTAGCACCACTTTGTGTCCATTAGGCCAAATGAGCTCTCCCTATGTTGTTGTTGTGACCCTGATGTGTATGTGTATGTGTGTGTGTGTGTGTGTGTGTAAAATCGATATATCTATCTATCTATCTATCTATATATAGAGAGAATATATATAAATTTGTTGTTGCTATATGCTATTGAATATTGAGTTAACTATGACTCATAGCCACCCTATGCACAATAGCTCTGAACCCAGTTCCATTTTGAGCCAATCTCACTGTCTCTGACAGACCTACCTGCATTAACCCAATTATTGTGTCAATCCATCTCATTCTGGTTCTTCTTCTCCTGCACTCTCCCTCAACCCTTCCAAGGGTGATATCCTTCTCCAAAAACTGCTCTCTCCTAGAGACATGTGCACAGTATTTTAGACAGTTTAAAAAGCCTTGGCTTCAAGGAGCAGCTTGGTTCCATCCTCTCCAGGATAGAAATGTTAGTTCTCTTGGAAATCCATGGTATGCTCAAAATTCTTTTCCAGAACCACAACTTAAAGGCCTTGATGATTCGTCTGTCTTCTATTGTCCAGTTCTCTGATAGGTATCATGTAATTACAAATACCATGATATGGAAAGGATGCATCTTAGTCTCTAGGATGACATTCTTGCTCTTCAGCACTCTGGAGAGATCCCAGACAACACATTCTTCTAGTGAATTTGGTGTTTTGATTTCCTGGTTTTATATATATATATATATATATATATATATATATTAAAGTGTGTTAAATATTAAAAAATAATATTTAGCTGATATATCAATATCATCATTTCAAAGAACAGCCCAGGAGGACAAAGCAAAGTGAGAGCTGGAATTGGAGAATAAAAAGGGGGAAAATTAGTTCTTTATATCATTAAGAAAAAGAAAGTAAAAAATCTTAATAGTTGAAATAAAAAAGCATTGTTTAAATGTTTATGTTGATGTGTTTTAGCTTTATCTGGATTAATTGGCAGGCAGCACCATGGTAGATGGAGTAGAGATTGAGGTTGGTTGTTTTTTTTAAAAATTTTATTTTATTAATTTTAATGAACATTTACAGAGACTTTGGATTTCTATTCATTGAAGTTTTTAACAATTACAGTTTGTGCAGCTCCACAATCAACATTATTGACACTAGCATTCATGAAATCAAAAGATAAATTGCACTTGGAGTATCTACTGTCAGGCACCTCTCTAGAGTACTGAGAAGCAACCATATTTGTCTAAAGACTAAAGTGCACTTTATACTTGCTATGAATCAGAGAGCTGGACAGTTACTAAGTATGACAGAAGAAGATTTGAAGGCTTTGAGTTGTGGTCTAGAGAAGAGTCTTGAACATACCATGGACTGTCAAGAAAACAAATAAGACTAACTTGGAGAGGGTGAAACTAAGTTTCTCCTTGGAGGTGACAGTTTTGAAGCTCCATCTCACATACTTTGGGCATGTGGCCAGGAGGGACTGGTCCTTGGAGAAGAACATCATGCTTTGAAAGTTGGAGGAACAACTCAGAAGATGAAGACCCCAGTTGAGATGTATTGATACAGAAACTAGGGTAATGGGACAGGTTTGTCGAAATCAGTAAGTCTGGCTCAGGATAGGAAGGCTTGTTAATACCACTATTACTTGAATTTATGTACCTACAATGGTAGCCAAAGAGGAGGAAATAGATGATATCTATCAACTACTGCAGTCAGAATTGATTGAACATCTAACCAAGATGCATTAATAAGAATGGGAAAGAACCCTTATATATATTATTGCATTCAACTTATTTTTGTATAAGATGTGCAACCATCTTTGTACAAGATGTGAAACTGACCTTTACATACATTAGACATTATTGTGGTTGTACATGTATCATGTTTCAGACAAATAATATACCTCAAGGTATGTATATTTGTACTGAGACAAGTTGGGAAGAATTTATAACAATGTCTCTGTGTCATTACTAGGAAAATAAATATTAAAGGAAAAAATAAACTGTCACCAGCATTTATATAACATTTATACTACTAACAAATGAGAGAAAAAACTGTGCATACAATGGAAGTTTATTTTATTGCCTTTTTAATGTACTTTTTACTTTCACTCCAATTATTTTAATCATATGAACTTAAAACATTCTTATCTCCTCTGTAACATGCAAGGCCATCTGCTTCTGCTAAGATGTCAGACAGGTTTTCTGAAAACAGCTACTGCATCAAATCCATTTGTGAATGTTCAGAACATAGCAACACATACTTTAAATAGGCTTAGCCCATTTGTTTCTTCACAGATGGTTCATAAATCTGTAATACGTTTAGAGGCAAACAGACTCTGCTGACCACAAATGGTACTGACTTCTGTGTTCATAGGAGTTCTAAAAGATCCAAATGACAGTTAAAGCTATCTCTGCAGACAGTTCAAATAAATTGAGTATAAAGTGCTCCAGTTGTTTTGCTTCTATGTATATAATTTCATGTAAAGAACAAGAAAAGAGTTGTGTTTTGTTGGGATTTTTTTTTAAAGCACATTTTCTTTCACTGAATTGTAATGATTGAGGTTGTGTCAACTTGATTGAGCAACAGTTCTTCCACTTGGTGGTTATAATGTAGTCATTCACAGTACAAAGTTTGATTTCACATAATCCCCTCCACAATTAAAAATGCTATGAATAGAAAAGGAGTTTCCCCAATGGTGTGACCTGCGTTCCGGCAAAACTCATGACATTTTTGCTTAATCAGGACTATGTATCTGGTTCTCATTATCTGATTTTTTTAAAAAGTTTTTATTTTATATTAGTTTGCTTAAAAATTTATATAGATTGTGCTTCATTTGTATACATTTCATTTCATACATTTCTGTATTCTCATTGTGTTTTATACGATCATTCCCAAACATTATGTTTTATAAAATTAATCACTATTGATCCATGCCCATCACAACTCCACCTTTTAAAGTGATGCAGCAAATGCGGAAATCATTAAACAGTACCACGTGTAAGCAAGATTCTGCTGAAAATTATGTACATCAACAGAGAACTGTCAGAAATGCAGGCTGGCTTAGAAAAGGCATGGTACTTGGAATATTATAGCTAGTTAAATGTATCCTGGCTGAAGGCAGAAAATACCAGAGGAATGTCTATCTATGTTTCATTGACTATTCAAAGGCATTTAACTGTGTGGATTACCACAAACTGTGGCTAACTCTGAGAAGAATGGGAATCCTAGAACACTTGATTGTGATTATGTGAAAGCTATACTTGGACAAAGAGGCAGTCATCAGAATAGAGCAAGGAAACTCTACATGGTTCAGAGTTGGGAAGAGTGTATGACAGGGAAGTGTCCTATCTCCAAACCTTTCCAATCTATATGCAGAATAG